CCCACCACCCTCCTCCTTCCCCAGCATCCAATAGATGTTGTCCTGATATGTGCATTTATGTGTTGATTAGTTAATACCAATTTGATGGTGAGTACAAATGGGTCCCGTTCTGCTGCTCTTGTGGTGCATTTTTAAAAGCTAATGAACCAAGTTTGTACAGCAGAGTCACATCTGTCTTCAAAGACTGTGAACACGAAAGCACAGAGACAGAAAAGGAGTGAATAATTTGGACATGAAAAGTACTCATATAGAACAAATAGGTGAAAGAATCCTGTATTGAAACCGTAGAAAAGAACTAAAGAGAGAGAGAGACTGTGAGTGAATTCATGCACCATATAGAACAAACGTGAAAAATGCAATATAGCCACGTTACAAGAGATGAAAAACTAACACAAATGAACACTAAATGTAAGATGGATTTATGTATCTAATAACATAAAATGAGTAATTTTTATTTCAAATGTAAATGCAAGTTAAGCAAGCCAACAAAGTATTGATAAATGAAGTCTTTTCATTTCTCACATTAATGATTTTTTAAAAACTTCCTTCCCTAGTAAGTAAGCCTCCATAATTTCCAATCATCCTCCAAATTCATTTGGGCAAAGCCACTCTTTGTGGATTCTGGCATAATGCTTTCTATAACCATCAAGAGAAGTATATTTTCATAAATTTTAAAATTTGACCATAACTTAAGCCAAGTCTGTCATATTACAGGCAAATAAGTTAAATTATAATAAAGGTTGTCCTTTTCTTTTGGTACCGTGTCTCTAACATGAAAATGTTGTAATTTAGTGATCAATAAATTTCATATGTAAAGATCTCCCAAACACACATCTATAGACCCTAAATAAGAATGACTTGAATCAAAAGTGTTCTGAATAAATGGTTGGGTATGGAACAACAGGAAACCTGTTGACTTAGGTGCTTCTATCCCAGGGTCCTTTCAATGCTACAGGTCTCTAAGCTTTCAGAAAAAGATGTATTTTAGCCAGAGAGGAGTAAGGTAATTTGTGAAGCCTTGGGATTGTATCTGTGTGTGTGTGCCCGTATGTGTGTGCATCCGCACAGATAAAATCTGATTTTCAATCCTTCCTTTCACTTCATTTGAAACAGAGAATTTTTTTTTATTTCAGGGTAGTATGAGGGTACAAACATTATGGTTACACTTCATGTCTTTGGCTCACCCAAGCGAGGGTTAGAGGTATGCCCTTCCTCCCTACAATGCTCCCCGTGTCCTTTAGTCATGAGTTTACACCCCCATCCCCCTAATGCCTGAAGAATGTTACTGCCATGTGAGCACCCTAGTGTTCATCAGTTAGTACCAATTTGATGGTGAGTACAAGTGGAGCCCATTCTTCAGATCTTGTGGTACCTCACTTTGGATAATGGGTTTAAGTTTAATCCAGGAAAGCATAAGAAGTGCTAGGTCACTGTGGTGAATCAGAGAATTTTCAAAAGTGTATTTTAGAATCCGAGCTGATAATAAGATTCATTGTAACTCACACTTCATAGGTTCGTAGAATTGGAAATGGGAGGAAAATAATTACCACAAATATCTAAACTAAAGCCAATAAGAAGAGGGAAAAGAGATAAGGAAAACTGAAAACAGAGCAAAAGTACTCTTAGG